GTCAGTCAATATTATAAGGTAATATTGTGAAATATTATTACAATTTAAAACAGCTGTTTTCTATGTAAATATACTGTAAAATCTAATTTATTTCTATTTATCAAAGCTGAATTTTCAGCATCATTACTCCAGTCTTCAGTGTCACATGATCTTCAGAAATCATTCTAATATGCCGATTTGCTGGTCAAGAAACATTTCTGATTATTATCAATGTTGAAAACAGTCGTGCTGCTTCATATGTTTGTGGAAACTGTGATGCATTTTATTTTTCAGGAATCTTTGATGAATAGAAAGTGCAGGAAAACAGCATTTATTTGAAATAGAAATCCTTTCCAACATTGTAAAAGTGTTTACTGTCACTTTTGATCAATTTACTGCGACCTTGATGCATTTAAAAAAAAATCCCAACACATGCATACATACATAAATAATTTTGACTTATTTAAGGTTACAAAACTTGAAATCACAGTGGGTAGGAAATATTTTAAATCGACTGAAAAATCGACTGGAAAAATGTAAATCATAAAAAAAGAAAGTAAATGCTATTATAGGTGTTGGTAGTTTTTTTTGTGTGTCGCACCTTAATACCTTCTCCTGTATCAACAGACATTTAGACGTCTATAAACCGAAGGCGTCAGCTTCCATATCCGCTGAGAAGTATGTCAGATATCGGAAAAAATTGAGAATCCTGCAAACACTGTCAAGTCCAGGCTGTTATAGTTACCGACGAGCCTGCACAGGTTATCAAATGAGCAGCTTCTCAACACTTATGGTGCGGGTCTGTTCAGATGATGAGCGTGTGATGAAGGCCCCATCCTCATCTTCATCTTCTGCTGTAGGTTTATGTCTTTATGAGCAGAGCTGTTGTATCTTTCTCTTCCTACAGTTTTAGTATAAAAAGAAATGTAGTGTCGTTTTCAGTATTTTAGTGTTGTTTTCACTCAGAAATTGTGTAGATTTGCAAGTAACACGTTCAATTTTGAAGTGTAAAGACTAGTCCGGTAATCGTTTATGAACGATTTCGAACATATCTACGCACTCTTTAGTGATGGAAGATGGTGCACGTGCAGTTTAAGCACGATCACATATGCACACACTCATGCGAACAAGAAAGCGAGATGATTCTTATAAAGATTTTTCTTTGTATTTCTGGTTGTTGATTCTGCAGCCTCTAGTTATGTATTTTACTGGGTTCAATACTGTTAATCTCCAGCATGTGTAGACCTGAGCGGCCCATCCCAGAGCCTCACCCTGCCTTAGTTAGTCATACTTGCCCAACCGCTCAGGTATGTCACAGTGGTTAATCATTAAAGAGGCATATACCTGTGTGTGTGTAATGTCTATTGGCATGAGTAGTTTTTAGAGCGTGATTATGTAATCCAGTTCCTGTAATGGCTCTTTTGACCAGTTCTACACACTCGTTTAGCATGCAGTTACACAACTCGCCACTCTCAACGTTATTCTTTAGAGACTGTGATGATTTAGTCTGTGTGTTTGGAGAGGGTGTGAGATTCTAGATGAGGCATGCTGGCGGACACACCTTCCCACTCACTTTCCCTTCTTCTTCCTGCCTCGGCTCCACCAACATGACAATTTAGGGCTGAGGCGGAGCCAAGCGTATCCCGCAATGCCCTCCATGTCTCTCTGCAGTCAGAACAAGAGCAGGCCTACGACCTGTAGCTAGTTGCATCATTTAGAGGAGCTAGGAAATGGACGGCAGGAGTTAAACAGAAAGAAAGCAGAACAGGAGCAAGTGAAGATAAGGAGCGCGGTTTGTGACTAGCGTGACGCAAAGGAGATGAGTACGCAACAGAGACGGAGGGAATATTCGAGCGACAGCCTGGAGAGGATCCCTTCAGATGACTTGCACTATCAGGGAATGCTGAAAGCCTTGGAAGGCAGGAAAGGTAGTTAGGAAAGCTCTCTGATGCACCTGCTCGTGATGGAAGAGAAATTCCTTCTTTGTAAAAGTCAGATCTCTAGTTATTATTAGCGTGTGAACTTCACAGACTTACATTGAAACAAATCTTTGATTTTAAGCAGTATTCTGATTTTAGAAACATTCTTAGGTAACACTGTATTTAGATATTCATTCTACAAGTATCATATCTACATGAACGCTCAACACTCTAATGAGAGTTAGTTGACATGTAGTTGCAAAGTTACTTATAGTGAGTAGAATTTCTAAAGTGGACTGTCAGAATAAAGTGTAAGCCATTCATAAAACAAGATCAGTTTAATTGAGAAGCGAAACTGTGCCAGATTAAGATTTAAGCATAAATGGGGTAAGAAAATCAATTTCATTCAAGATATATTCTCTGAGAAAAAGTCTTAATGCCATATGCAAATTTGCTTTGTAAGTCAATGTATCTTATTTTACTGGAAAACATTGTTTATTATTAGTAGTAGTAGTAGTATTTGCAGTGTATATGGCTTAGGTTTCTTCTTCAGTGTCAGTCCAGGATCTAGGAAATCTAGGACTTTTTATCTTGATGTATTAATACTTGTTCAGTTCTTGCATTAAAGACAACAACCATGAGAAAAATATTTTACACCTTTTTAAATGCAATCTTGTAAGCAAACAGGACTATATTAGAATATATGATAATGAGATCTGATATTAGAAGATCTCATTATTAAAAAACTGTATTTAAGTCTTAATATATTTGAAAGTTTTTTTTAGTAAAGCAGTAAACAACTCAAGGCTTATCACTAGCCTTATAATGTTTGCAATCTGCCGTTGCTTTGCCCAGGTGCCTTTAATTGACACTATAAAAAGGCTCACACAGAAGCTGCCTCACCTGACCAATATTTAAATAAATGACTTATATTTACCAGTGTAAAATGTGTTAAGTGGGACTGAGGCGACATTCACTGGATTGGCTCGTTCAGTATGTCATCAGCAAACAGTGGTGAGAAAGTGCATTTGACACTATAGCGTACAATAACGCTGGATAAAATTTAATTTTATAGATAAAAAATGAATTTTCTTGCATGCCTCACACCCCCCAGAGGGCAGGAGTTGTGCGCTGAATCACAAGGGCGTTGGTGCTGTAACTTTATACAACTTTTAGAGGATAGCTCTTTTGCACTACAATCATTATATCTGCACTGTTGTTTACTTCACTGGTTTGCACTCTATCTGCCATGCGCCTTGTGCTGCTTTATATATATTTTTTTATATATTTTTTTACATTTTACCTTTGCTGTACATGTGGAAGAATTGACAATAAAGCATACTTGACTTGACTTGATAGAAAGCAGTGAACGGTGGTCAAAGGACAAAGGTCTGCTGACGACCCCCGCAAAGCTGTTCATAATTATCCACCTCATCTCCCGCAGTAGGACTCTTCAAACACTAAAAGGAAGTCTTACATTAATGACCCTCCACCCATGATAGTCACCATGGCAGTTATATTTCATAATCTGCTCGTCATACTCCACCCATCAGAAGCAGAAGTCCTGCGGGTCTGAATCAGCTGTTCCCTCAACACTCGACAATCACTCGGCGTTTTAAAGGACTCTTAACATTGCTCAGCAAACAGTTTCAATTGTATATCGTTTTATGCATTGAAGTACCCTGCTGTACTTGACAACATTGTATTGAGCGGAGAACATTTGATTCCACAGAAGTGTCAATTAATTGGATTGAGGTGTTGGGCATTTGCTCTGTTTTGGCTCATGCATTCCTTCGAGATTGCTTGACACTTGATTCCTAGTATATTTAAACGTCTTTCAGTCCTTGCTGATCCGTCGTCACCATCCTTCAAATTAGAGATGGTGTTGGGATGTCCTGTGCACCTGATGCAATTGGTTCAGATTTGGTATTGTATTAGACATGAGATATGATTCGAGTTTACAGCAGTTTTCCTCCCAGAAAGAGGTGTATTGTCTATTTTTTCTGTTACTTTGAACACTAACTTCACACTTTACAATATATTAGGTGGCCTTAACTACTATAAACTAGCATTAAATACCTGCAAACTACATGTTGTTCTGAAAAATGTACACATTTTTTGCTAACGAGCTTAGGTTTGGTAGTAAGGGTAAGGTTAGGGTTATAGTGGTTAGGTTTGCGGTAAGGGTTGAGTTACAGATAGGGATAAAGTTAACACTGTAATGACACATGTTAATTAAGTACAAGTACTTTAAATGTAATTACAATGCACCAACATGCATGTATCAAATGGTTAAGTAGTGTAGCTGAAGCTAACTAATAGAAAAAGTAACCAACTTTGCCAACTAACTCACAAACTTTAACCATAAATGTGAGCATGCTGCTTCAGATTACTCTGAACAACACAGTGCTTTGCAAGTTCTCTAGTAATGATGACAGATGCAAGTGTTGGTAGTTTGTATGCGGTGTTCTCTTGTGTTTCTCGCTGCTGAAGGAACATGATTCTGCAGGCTGTGGGTGTGTCTGTTGTGTTCGGTTAGTCATGAGTGATGCACACTTAGGATTAAAGCTCTGGTGAATTTTCCCAGCCTGAGGCCTCACAATGCATCACGTTTCCTTCCCTTCGAACCTGCGCTCCGTCGTTGCTTGACAGTCATTGCTCTCCGGCTTTACCCAGAGATCGGTTTCTCACATGGGTGTGCCTCCTGGGTGCTGAGTTTTAATCGTTTGCTCCTATGCAAAAAGAGCTGATTTAAAAACGTTCTGGCGTGGGTTATCGAGTTTTCATTTGTTGCACTACTCTCTTCACTTGCAGTCCTGTTGGAAACACACTCACACTAGTGGTTGTTTTGGGCTGAGCGTAACAATCAAATCAACAGTTCAGTGATTTGAAAGCATCACAGACACGTTTTGCACTTCTCAGTGAAATTAACCTGTTAATTGCTTATTTATAGGGATTTAGCATTTTAAAGTTTAACATCAAAACATTATTTTAATAATCAGCAGTATTTACAAAATGACGTAAATTCCTTCATATCCAGACATTTACTCTGAACACTGCTGAAGTGTGTTGAATTTTTTTTTTCTTTATCTTTTTTTGCAGATGAACGGGACAGAGTGCAGAAGAAGACTTTCACAAAATGGGTGAACAAACACTTAATAAAGGTACCTTTATGTTCATTATTCACTGCAGTTTGTCAGGATAATATGACCAGTGATTATCGGTCCTGCTCTTCCCTTCTGTGTACTCATCCATTCATGTTCAAATTGTGATTTTACTGTTATTGGCTTATTTGATTATCATTTTAACAAACAAATCCAATGCAACTTACTATACACTTTCGCAGCACAAGTATCTTAGGTTTAGTTCATGAATCAACCCTTGCAGAGTTTGAACCTACAATGGCCGATGTGATCAACATCTTATATATTGTTTTTCTGAAATGATATACACAATGTAGTTTTAATGGGAAAAAAAACTTGTTGTAACAATACTAATAATAGCCTAACAAATGTACAGTAAAAACTAAGACAAGTAAACAATGAAAAAGAACTGTGTGATAAGGCTTTCTGTACTCTAGCTTTGGGTGTGTGCACTGATTAAAAACTGATTAAAACGTGTTGTTTTAGTATCACTGAGATACTATTATAGTTTTTTTTTTTTTATTACTATTTGTTTTTATTTTCCATTTTCATTTTCATTTTAAAGTTTAAAAAGTAATTTTAAAGTGAGATTTTGTCATTTGTCATCAAGTTCCCCCCCCCCCCATAAATATGTCTATATACACTCTAAAAAATGCTGGGTTGTTTCAACCCAACTTTGGGTCAAATATGGACTAACCCAACTGTTGGGTTACATTTTTACATTTAATTTTTAACCCAAAAGTTGGGTTAGTCCAAATTTGACCCAAAGTTGGGTTGAAATAACCCAGCATTTTTTAGTGTGTAATTGTAAAATTTTATTTCAGTTTTAGTTATTTTAGTACATTGAGTTGAGGGGGGAAAAGCTAAAAAAGTGAAACTATTTCAAGCAAAAAAAAAAAATTTCATTAGATTTTTTATAGCTTTATTATTAGTTTCGGTCAACTAATAATAATCATAGTCAGAACAGTGTGCGAGTATCATATTAAGTTCTTTCATGTTTTATTGCACTTTAATGATCGCTTTAAGAAAGGCTTAAAAACATCAACTTTTATTACAGTGCAGCACTGCGATGGCATGTGAGCATAACCATGATGGACAGATAATACTCCTTGTTACATTTCTGCCAGTTTATCATGTCTCCCAGTGTATTGCTCACACATACCACTACTATTAGTTACCAGTGCAATTTTGAGCCACTATGTCACAACACCCAGTTTAGAAACTAATGTACTCATCTTAAAGTCTCTTCCATTTGGGGAGACATAACAGCTGTTGGGCTGAACATGATTTCTGTTTGTATCCGCCGTAGAGAAGCAGATCATATCCTGTCCACACATGTTATAAATCTACACACAGCTCGTTTATCATCGTCTAGTCTAAAGTGTCTAGTGTTTAGGCAGAAAGGGGGTGTGTTGAAAATCCAAACAAAAGATAATGAAAATGTAGCGCCAGACAAAATTGGAGGTTATTAGCACTCGTACAAATCAATCAAGCCTGTTCTTTCACCGTAGAGGAGGCAAAACACGAGACCCCTTCAGAACAAAAGAGTTGATATAAGACAAACCTGCGTGTCAAGAACATCTGGATTCATTTTGCAGCATGCATATCATATTCAGGGAATAAACACTTGTCAGTCCAGCCAACAGTAGCACATGTGCTGCAGATGTTTGGCTGGGTTAAAGCCCTTTATCTGTGATTAAACAAAAGCCAAGTTTGACTACTTTTTTTCTCAGAGGAGGACTGAATTTAAACTTTTCTCACACATCTTTGGTAAAAAATTACAGCTCAAATGAACAACTGTTTTAGGCTAAATTCTGAATGTAACCTCATCATTGCAGATTATTATGTTTGACAATGTGCTTTCGTCATTTATTCTGACCTTATCTCATAATACTTCCTTACCTTATTTGTTATGAATTTTGGCAAAGTTTCTGGGTAAAACAATTGTTTTATATACTGTGCGTTATATTAATTATTATTCATATCAAAGTGATTTTAGGATGTGCATCCAGAGCACACCTACATAAACCTATGTAGCAAATGTTCAACTCATTTGTATTTAATACAAACACTGAGTATGTTTTCACTCTTTATACTATCAAATATAAGCCCTTATTTTATAATAATCTGGCTGTTATCTACACTGACACATCTATATTTGCTGACTGAATGTTTGAGTTTGACCTTGACAAACACTTAGAGATCATAAAAACAGTTTGCTCTGTGGTTTGTCGCTGTCATCAGCTGTGATCTAGCACTTATTAGATGCTGCTATTGCTTTGTGCTGAAAACATGGGCTAGTGGTCAAGTATATGGAGATAGATGGCACAAATGAGACTTATTACGGTATAATACACCCATACATTGCTTAGATCTGGATTGGTGTTTTGCCAATGTGTGACTCGAACACTGACTGTGATATAATACATTATAGCAAAGAGTCATCGATTGTGATGAAGTTCATTGCAATAATAGACAGTATGATTTGTGTGTGAGGTTTAATGCATTTAATGCATCAACAGAGACCTCTAGTGGCTCAATATGAGCTCTGCCTTGTTGACATATGTGACCCTGGAGCACAAAAGCAGTCTTAAGTCGCTGGGGTATATTTGTAGCAATAGCCAACAATACATTGTATGGGTCAAAATTATCGATTTTTCTTTTATGCCAAAAATCATTTGAATATTAATTAAAGATCATGTTCAATGAAGATATTTTGTAAATTTCCTACCGTAAATATATCAAAACTTAATTTCTGATTAGTAATATGCATTGCTAAGGACTTCATTTGAACAACTTTAAAGGTGATTTTCTCAATATTTAGATTTTTTTGCACCCTCAGATTCCAGATTTTCAAATAGTTGTATCTCAGCCAAATATTGTCAGATCCTAACAAACCATACATCAATGGAAAGCTTATTTATTCAGCTTTCAGATGATGTATAAATCTCAATTGCAAAAAATTGACCCTAATGACTGGTTTTGTTGTCCAGGGTCACATTTCACTTTCAGTTGGATGAATAGATGCTTCTGTGAAAGAAAAGAGGCTGGAGATTTTATTGTGCTGAACTTCAGAAGACCTCAGTAGTTCTGTCTATCATATTTTCCTTGTCCTCTGCTTTATACAGCAGTTGAACAGAAGTCATTTATCCAGCTTACAAATGCTTTATATTAAAATACATAAAATATAATTACATTTATATTACAGAGAAAGGGCAATTCTGAACATTTGATATCTAATATTTGCAAAGAATTAAGTACAAATTTCAGAAAATGATTTCCAGAGAGTGTTCCTCAAGGTATAACAACATTTAACCGAATAAGATGTTAAGTTTCCACGATGGAAAGAGAATTAATTTACTCACTCTAGACTTGTGCTGGTATTTGGTAATGCGATATATCACGGTAACGAATATGCACGATATTGTTATCGTGGGCACTTCTAAATACCGTGAATAATTATATATTACAAATTATTTAGAATCACATACCCCTAACTCACTCTCATGTCATTCTAAAACCGCTTTGATTTTTCTTTTTCTGTGGAAGCCAAAATGAGAACATCCAGGCTGCTTTTTCCATACAAATCAGCTGAAACAGCCAAGCCATGAACAAAAACTACCACCAGTGCTTCGTATGAAGTGTTCTTTTAATGTGAAGGCTTTGTGTGAAGAACAGTCTGGACTTTCTGCTAAATGTCTTATTTTATGTCTATGGAAAAAGATAAATCGCAGGTTTTGAACATGATAAAAGGAGATTGGACTGATGTAGCTGATATCAGCATCAGATTTTAAATCTTAATGTTGTCCTTCATCATTCAACTTTCACTTCTTTCTTCCATTTCGAATCGATGTAACTCCATTCATCTCTCTGTGCTCTTCTCTCCTCCTCATCCTCTCCTCCAGCACCGGAGAGCTGAGGTAGGTCCATCTGTCAGCGTGTCCCAGCATGCTCTGCTCTCTCACACGCATGTTCAGTGCTCCTGTCCTCCCCGAGGCTCTTCTGCTG